AAAGCCCCCTTTTTTAAGAGCTAATTAGGACTGGCTGAAGATGGCTTCTCCCTTTAAACCCCGAAGTATCAATATTAGATGCTGCCGATACATACATATAACAAACATCCCAAAGCAGATCTGCTGTACGATAAAGTTTCCAATCTCTTTCTTTACCTGACAATACAATAGTAGAAGAGGGTAACTGCTGACCTCAATACATTGTAAGAAAGTGGAACCACGGAGGTGGGACATCCATAATTCTATTCATATAGGCTGATGGCAATCGTAAATTTGAGATTAAATGGAATATAGGAGAGATGAGGAGCTTCCTGAATTTATGTAAGATGGGTGAGAGAGAATTGCCAGTGGACAATAACTTTCTACTGCTATAAAAAGGCATATGCAAGGCCCAAGGGAGTTAGTGCAAAGCTTCTTGTTAATATTCGTGGGGTTTTGATCAAATCTAGAAGACAAAGTCGAGACTTAGATGTTTTGACTTTGAAACAAAGGCTCTGCTGAAATTGCATAATTTCTTTTATTCTCATTTAAACTGATGTGTGTTATTCATCATGGTGATCAGAACATGCTTTGCATCGCTGTGCTATTTCTGGTTTGATGATTGTGATAAACTTAGTAACCTTTTTACATCTTGTGAAGTTATACACTTCTTCAGGTCCTTCATTTTGCTTGTAAAATGCTTTTTAATGTTAATGGACTTTTGTGTCAATTAGAGATTATTGAGAAGATGATGGTATTTTAACAATACAGCAATTCCTTTAATACTGCTCCACCTAGGTCTCTTTCAGAGAGTTCTGTATTCTCCTTTTCTATGTATTGTGCATGTTCTGTTGCCATCTCCCTGTAATAGAGGGCTATCTGCTTAGTATCCTTAGGATTTGCAGGTTTTAATTAGAATGGATTTATGTTGATTAGAGTTGATGGGATTGAAATGCCATGTAGTTATTAATTTCCTAGTTTTAATTTTGCTACTTAGTCATATATTACCAAAAATATCTTAGAAATATATTTTCCCCTCATAAAGTGGCAAAACACAGAAATAAATGCATTGCAGTATGCAGTTGTTTTAAGAAGAAACTTTTGGCAGATACAGATTTTTTTGATTCTACCAATGCATACTGAGATGGATGAAAAGGAAAAGAAAGATTTGCAGCCAATTTTTCTTGGATTTTACTTGAAAACTGAAAAAGAACCACAATTTGTGGGAATTTCCATGAAAACTTGCGTGTTTTATTTTTTTCATTAAAAATGTCAGTAAGCAACTCCATGAAATTCCAAAATTTTATATACTGGCCATTATAGTTTTCAGATSTGTAGCATGTGCAGTATGTAGACCTAGGTTCTGTACAAAGATTAATGTTAACCAATACAAAGAATTCTGCTTTTGTTTTTGCAGGTAGGAAAGTGAGGAAATAACATGTTGTTGAGTTCAATAGTCATTACAGTCAATATAAAAATACCTTTTATTCTAGCAGGATAAAGTCTTATGCAAAATGGAATAGCTCTGCAGGAAGCTCATCTCTTCAGTGATGAATAAAAGCAGTTACAAAAGATCCCAGGTCAGATAAAAAATTGAGATATCCTCTTTCCTAAGGGCCCATGTGAAGTGCATTGAAGGTTAAGATAGTAGACATTCCCAGGATAGGTTTAAGGAAGTCCAGTTGGCAGAGTTTTGGACTAAAAGTCAAATCTCCCAGGTTTTATTCCCCGCTTTGTCATTGTAAATGTAAGCATTTCTTGTATTTTGTATCTCAGTCTTGCTTACTTGCCTATTTTGCTAAGACTGTACATTATTCTGAGTGTAAGGAAATCAAAACAAAGACCTGGTGTTTGTTAAGAACTTTGGYTGCTAATGCAAAGAAATTGGAATGGCTAAAGATAAATAAAGGCATAGAAAAAGGGTACAGTTAAACAAATATTAATATTCAGTGTTCACATTCAACTTGTTCTGAAAACTGTAAAATTCCAAGTAGAAATTTACTGTGAGGATAAATTCAGCTTCTTTCATCTTGTCTCTTCTCGATAGATACGACACCAGTGAACTCAAAATACCTTTGCAGGGCAGTTCGCTTTCCAGTGTGTACAAATAAAGCCCATTGCCACAATAGTTCATTTCCTACAGCTCTAAGTTCTGTCCTTAATATTACGGCCATCTGGAGACAGTTGTCAGAAGAAAACTGGCCGAGCTTTGTGATAAATTTGCCCCAGCATATTGAAAAGTACATGTAAATGAGGTGTAAATGAAGATATCTTATGGACTTGTTTCAGCATGCCAATCACATAACTTCTATCTGATTCAAWCCTTATTTTAACTTGATCTGTTTTAGTCTTGCTAGCACTTGGAATTCTGGTCAACCTTCTCTAGCAGGGAGTTCTCTGAGGGAGAGCAAGCTCTTGGCTGCTGAGAGAAGGAGCAGAACTGTAGGGGACCTGACTGTATTTTCGTAGGCAGAACTGAGTCTCATTCTTTAGTTGCTGATTCGGTACCCCTGTTTTACTCTGCGCTTGCCGGGGGATGTTCCAGCCTTTGGATTTCTGTGAAGGAGAAATTCTGGTTGTTTAATATTGTATCTCCTCACAGAGATGCAGTACTACTGCATTTTAACATGTACCAGCAGGTTGCCAATTCAGTCAAGCGCAGTTTAATGAAATGTAGATGTGTAGACCAAAGCTTTTTATCCTTTAAATAATGGTCATTCAAATAAGTGGATAAGCTCAGTGGATTGGTAATAGTCTGTACAGCTCTTCACCCTGTTAAAAATCTAGCTGAGAATGTTTACTAACTTTTTAACATCTGCTTGATACTGTAATGTTGGGAATCATTTGAATTCCTCCCCTATTCTTGATCCCAGCTAGCCAGGACTAAATGRAGTGCCTTGCAAACACACTGGAGCCTGACAGGTAGATTGTTCTCCAGCCTCAAAAGCTGTGGATGATGTGGTTRGAAGTTATAGTTTTCTTGCTGCTGGTGCTGTACATGTTCTCATGATTCAAGAAATCTTTAAGGCTATGCACACAGGAATTCTGACTAGAAAGATGACAGTTGCTGTTGACCTGTATGACACTGCAGTTAATTACGCATTATATGTGCTGCTTTTCATATTTTTTTTCATTGTGAAAAATGACTCCTTAATACACATAATGCTCATTAACATTAATAGGAAATTAGTTGTTCTAGAATGATTTTCAATCTATTTTGATATCCTTCTCTGATACTTACCAATACCAAGTGCAACAAATAAAAGGCAGAATGTTGTTCTCCTACAGCTGACGTGCTTGGGGATCCCATGTTTATCACATAGAATAGAACCTAGCGAAACTGTTTTCCTRCGCTCCAGGAACCATGCTGTTTGTCCTAGGAAGCTTCAGACTGTAATTTACCCTAGCTATTTTAACTTCTCAGGTTATGCTGATTTGTTCCAGTAGTTGATTTTTTTATACAACAAAGCTGTTTGCTACAGCAATCCTGCAGCGAGTTCCATTAGTGAGTTTTGTAAAAGACAGGTCTTTACTCAGTTACCTTTATCAKAAAAGGAGTAATAGCTGCATACAACTGACTTTCTTTTTGCTATTTTTACATAGTAGATCAAATTTCTCCCTCAAGTTATCAGTCACAATTCTGTTGAATTAATGATGTTTCTTCTATTTGCGTCATTACACAATTGCATTCTTCAACTCCACCAAAMTTTAAAAAAAATTATTTTTAATTTTTCATTATACTAGATGTAGCATAATTTTGTGCCCAGATCTAATGCAGATGCCTTAACTAACCATGCTTGCAGTGGCTAAGAATGGTGGTTGTATGAACATGACTAAGAGCAGCATTTTATCTCATATAGGATGAGCTATACACAGCTAATGAGTAGCCTGTACTTTTTTGTTGCTTTGTGCTTATTTTTAGTGTTTTTCATGTTGTTGTTTGCAACCAAAGTCTATGCTAATGGAAAAATAATTTATACAATTGAATCAGGCCCTATATGCTTATTATATGTCTATTTGAATTAGATGAATAGCTCCTGGAACTACTATGGACATTTCTGCTAATGTTATTCAGGACTCATGTTTTCTGATTTTCATCACCTGCCCTAGGACAATTTGTATTTATATTTGTATTTGGGAGAATGGGTCCATAATATGAACTAGGGAAATTAATGTTGATCCCTAAAATGGAACCAAGCTATGAAGGACATGTGATCATTTTTGAACTTCGTAGTGTACTTCTCCAAACTTTGTTGCTTTAACAACATTTCTAACATAGAATCAAATGAAGTGTAATTCCTATGAATGCAAGAATTGCCRTTCTAAACCAGATTAAATTCTTGTAATCATTACTTAAATAAATCAGGGAAATCAAACAAAAAGCATACAGAAGTTCTTCCAGTTAAGACTGTATTTTCTATAGTGCATACAACTAATATTTGTATTTGATTTGGATGTTTTGTTTTAGTAGAAAGGAATCAGGCACAAAAGAGGCCCACGCTATTATTCAGTATTATTAATGATGTTGTCTACTCTTAGATTCTCAAAAACTAGAAAACTAATAAATTTTACATATTGGAAAAAAATCATAGATAAATCAAACAAATAAATTCCTTAAAGTATTTAATATGTGTTAAGAGGACAGAATGATAAATTCAATATTGAAAACCAATATCAAGTTTACAATTATGTACCATTTATCATCACTGATTGCATAGACAGCATATTATTGCAGAGAGCAGAATTATTCATAAATGAAAACCCTGAATGGTTCTACAAAAACAAGTTAAAACTCACATTATATCTGTAAATCTTTGTGTTTCTTTTCAGGCATCATTTTCAATTATATTTTGTTCTTTCAGAAACAAATCATGCATGCTTAATTTCTTGAACTTTAATACTAAATGTGAAATAATCGTAGGGAAGCAAAACTGATGCTTTCGCAAACCATAATAACCTGAATCAGTATGTTTTTATTTTCTCAGGTCCAGTTCTACCATAAGGATGCAAATAYCTTCTGGAAAATGAAAAAAATGGATAGGAGCTAGTCTTGAATTGGACAGGTAGAAGTAAGCAAACAAAAGCAGTAAAAAGTGCTTCTGAAAGGTGATTTGACATTGAAAAGAAAGCATGTGCAAATGGCAACTTCTTAGCAGATCTATTCCTAGGGTGAAATTCTGCCCCTCCCAAAAGTCAGTAGCAAAACTCCCCATGAGTCCAGTGTTTTCAAACTTCCATTGCTTGTTTGCAGGGACAGACGGTACCCGYCGGCTTCTGTGAAGGAGAGCACTATACTCCTTAAACTCCTGTCACCCCAGCCGAGCTGCAGGAGAGGCAACTGAATTCTTTCCCAGCTCCTGCTTTATCAGCAGAATTATTAAGTAGTTTTCTGTTGCAGAGTCACTTTTGTAATGCACACTTGCTTTATTTTCAAATTCTTCTCTTGGTTTCATGTTGATGCTAAGGCTGCCCAGGGATAACTGAAGACTTCCTTTTGCTACATTCCGGTGGAACTGCAATAATTGARCTTATTTTGTCTTTGGATTTTGATAACTTATTCTGATTTATCAAGCACGTCTAGCTAACCTTGAAGATTCAAGTTGAGTTTACAGGTTTATAACTCTAGGCTAGACTCATCAAGTTAACAATAATAACAAAAAAGCTAGAGCTCTGCTTATATCTTTAATATCTTTTTCTACCAAAGTAGAATCAGTGTGATGCAATATAATGCTGTGTATTTTTACTAAATCKCTTTCAGGAGGAGGTATCAATATAAATAGGGACTAAAAATAAAGGAATACTGTTCTAGTCACCCCCCTATGTAAAACAAATCCATTGACAGATTCACCAAGTACTATGGACCTTCAAGTAGGCACAACCATGGCGTAAATTATGCTTTGCAGACTGGTTCTATCTTTATACATTTCAGACAGCATTTTTGCTTTTAAAATGAAAGGCCCTGGCTGGAAATGGGTGTCAGTGCTGAGCTATAAACAATGTCCTGACTAGATAGTAACTGGTGTTCTTAATATCCTTATACAAACAGCAAAAGCTAATTGCCTCYATTCAATAAATTAAGTTCAAATTTAATCAATATTCAATTTTATTAAATAATGAACATAATTTAATAAATAAACAGCATTGCTAATTTATTATTGATGTCAATTTTTAGGATGTTTGTGAAAATAATTAAAACCAGGTAGAAAAAGATGAGAATTAGTTCACCTCAGGCACCAGCACTGCTGCAGGTCCTGGTCAGGTTGTTTTAACCCCAGCTGATGAAGAAAAATGGCCTTTCAGGAGCTAGTGAGAAAGCAGGGCTGGGTTTGCAAAAAGTAAGTGAGGAAGCCACCAGTCACTGCCATATTCATGTAATCTCCCCTGCCTGGTCTCAGAATTTAGGTGGCTGATCTAGTTCTTGGGAAGGCCACAACATGGGACAGAGCAGCAAGGGGAAGGTTAGGGACTGCAAAGCATGAAAATGGTTGGAATGCAGAAGTTTATCGGGAGGTCAGGAGACTGCAGCAAGTCTGTCGTGGAAATAGCGAAGCAATTCCGGCCAAAACTGCCTTTATTCGTTTAGAGCCTCTGCCATCACTTGYAATCATGTATAGGCACGTTACCCAGAAACACACAGTGCAGGACAAAGGCTTTTGGCAGCCTCATGTATAGGTAAAATATGATATAATGTGGTGATTGGTTATGTGGCTACAGGGACAAAAAAGTTTCATTTGCCATTTTGTTATGTTATCAAAGAGGGATTTGATCTTACCTTTCTTACATACTGAGTGATGAAAAAAATGAGTCAGGCCCTCTATTAGTTGCTGCGATCTGCAAACGAGAGATCGTATGTAGCACTGAAATTGTTTATTTGCTCATGAAAACACTTTTGAAAGAATCTTCTTTCAAAAACATCTTGGTCTAATAATTTTTATCATGCATTTATAACTTCTTGTACTTGCAGGGGGAAATTAAAACCATGGGTGCAATTTTTCCCTGCCCGATGCCTCCTGGTCCCCTCGATGGCACGGAGCCCCCCTGAGAAGCACAACAGAGCAGCCCATGGACCAGCACAAGGGCAGATGTTCCGGACGGCAGGGGATGCTAGAGAAGAGGTAATTTTTTCCATGGCGCTTTGCTCTGCCCGTTAGCACCCCCTCGGCCTCGCCTGCTTCCTCCCTGCAGCCAGGGGCTGTTTGCTGTGCACGGAGCCAGGCAACGGGCGCTGAAGTTTGCGCGCTCCCTGCCGCGCGCATCCGCGGCGCTGGGGAGCTCCCCGCCCAGGAGGGCTCGCTCCGCAGCCGCGGAGGCTCCGAGCTTCCCCCGTCTCCCGCGCCCCGCAGAGCCGCCGGGTGCTCCTGCCTCCGGAGTTGGCTTCTTCCTTCCCGCGGGCACTCCAGGCTGCAGCCGTGGGATGCGAGCTTGGGTCCGTGCCTCCCGCTTCTCTTTAAGGTATTTTAATTGCATCGGGCGCGCAAGGCAAAAGCAAAAGCAAGACGCGCACAAAACCCGCGGCGCCGGCGCAAGGTCCCCTCCCCCGAGCAACAAACGGTTAAATCGGTAGCCGGATGCCAAAACGGCCATCACCGACCGAGCAAGCCCCAAAGCGGCCAGAGCCCCGCGAAGTTTCTGCGCTCTGTGTCGGAAGGTAGATCGGGGCGCCCTGCCCGCCACCCCGGAGCGGCCGCCGAGCCGCGGCCGTGGCTGGCGCCGCGCTGGGGACTGCTTCGCTCTCGCCCCCACCCCCGTCTCCTCCTCCTCCCTCCCCCGGGGGCTGCGGGGAGGCGGGTTTAAGGTGGGTCGTGTGGCCGCGGCAACTTTGCCAACAGAGCCGGAGCGGCGGCCGGAGTCCCCGCAGCAGCAGCAGCGCGCGCCCGCCTGCCCTGGGCAGCGGCCCCGGCTCGGCCGCCGCCGCCCGCAGCTCCCGCTGCAGCCCCACGATCCGGGCCGGGCCCGCCGAGGTAGGTGCGGGTCGGGGCGGGCTGAGTGCTGGGGTCTGCGCCGCTGCCCCTGCTGTCCTTCGTCCCCTTGTGCTGCTGCTGCGGGGCCAGCAGCATCCCTGGCATGGGCAGGTTGCAGAGGAGAAGCCCTTTTCCCTGCTCCTCCTGGATTTGCCTGGGYGTCCAGAAGCCCTGGGAGGAGGGGGAACTGTTCCCCAGCCACCCCTGCCKGTCCACTTTCCCGGAGCATCTCCASGTTCTCGGTGGCGCTGGTACAAGTGCTGATCTAGGAGAGCTGTATGTGTGCGGGGAGGTCTTACTGCTTTATCAGGACTCTGCCCTCACAAGTGAAGCCTCCACCGCGTTGGTTTACTGGGGCAAACTGGTCRGCATGAACTTTCTTCTGGCTGCAGGAGGCAGGGACTCCAGTGCTCCCCTGTGCTTGGTCACGGCACAGCTGCAGTGGGATTCCCGGGGCTCCTGGCTTTGGGGAGCTGGTAGGACTCGTTCCGGAGGTGACGTGTTGGACCCTCGGACACTCTGGAGTTACTGTGGTGTGACTGGCAGCTGCCAAATGCTGCCTCCTGCCTGGACTCTGAGCACCCTGCCCTTTGGGTCCGAGCAACATGGGGAACTTTGGGGGTRCTGGATGCCACAGCATCCTTTGCTGCTCTGCTCCAGCGCCGCGCAGGCGACAGCACCATGAGTCGCTGCCTGGGATTGTTAATGCTCCTCTGCAGCYGCAGGCATGTGCTTGGTCCTGGAGGTGCACAGCAGATCTGGAGCCATGGCAGCCCCCTCTCAAAGTGTCACGGGGTTAGATGTTTAAATAAAGCCTGTGATTGTTCAATAGTGGTAAGTGCTAAGGGTTAACCCCAGAGCTAGAAGGAAGTCCAGAGTTTACTACTGGGAAGTTTACAGTTCATATCTTTGTGACCTGTTTTGGAGCATAGGTGCATAATAAATAAGCTAACTAGAGTCTGGCAGCTTGTTTTTCCTCTATATCCAGTCAAGTGGGGGAGACCCCCTGTCATGGTCAGTCCTGTATGCTAGGAATAGAAATTCCAGTCAGATGAGTGGGTGTTAGATCTCTTAATTTCACATTATGAGGCTAAGTAATTCTGTGAAGATTTCTGCTGGGGTATCCAAGTCTGAAATTAAATTCTTCTGGTACTGTCAGACTTCTCTCAAAGACCAGCAAAGCTTTTCTGTCCCTCCCTCTGTTTGGACCTTTCATGTTTCTTATTAAATCACACAAATTTTCCTTCTCAAAGTAACATATGATGGATGCGCTATTTTTGGTGTATTCCTTTGCAAATTAAAGTAGTATTTAGATAAAGTGAATAAACCAACTAATCCTGTCTCATCATAGGATATGATTTTCTGCAATCATTTACGAACTGAAAAACCTGGTCTTGAAAAATTTTATAAGTTTACCCTCAGGTGACCTGATCTAGAGTCTACTGAAGTTAATATAAGGCACCTGCATTGGTTGTACCTTAGATGAGTCACTAATCATGAGCACATGTGTTTAAGGATTATCACCTGTTTGCAGAATTAGTCTTAATGAAAGTTCATGAGTTCTTATTTGTCAGCAACAACCTCAGGAGACTTCACTGTTCAAASTGCTGAACTTAGGAACTTAGGTATTTCTTTTTTCTGCCTTTTACTAACATCCRAGTGAATTTGCTGCTAAACTGTGAAAATCTCATGTGTAAAAGGTTTTTGGCCATGTGGTGACTTACAACTTTTCACAGGAATGGGGGGAGGGGGGTTACCTTTCTCATGTCGTCACCTGGTCATCTACTTTAGAAAATTCCATAATTCAATTGAAAAGAAAGATGGGCAGTGTAAAGTGTACAGATACATTATGTTCCTTTTGAGATACATCATGTTCCTCTTGTGATTTTAATTACTGCAGACGGACTAATTTAATCTCTTATTTTTTCGATTAAGTATAAATTAGTAGTGAAAAGTATCAAATAGAAGCCAGTCCTGTTGCAGTAAGTTGCATATCTATGAGTACATTGGGGTACTCAACCATATTTAGTCTGAATTCTGCTTTAACTTTTATCTAGCTGACTTAATATTTAAGCAAATGTACTGCAAAACTGTAAATCTTTGAAAATAGACAATTACACTGAAAGTGTGAATGTACCCTCAAGTACTGTCTGTACAAACTATTTCTCTACACAGCGATCACAATTCTTGCTAACTTTCTCTGTGAAATCATTTCTAATCCCATGCTCCTACAAAGCATGTGTTTGGTTATTGTTTTCAAAAACTTGTGGCTTGAGCTACTACTTAAATATTGTCTTTATGATAAGACTTTGGTTGTTCAGTTTAGAAAGAAAAGTGCTGCATACCATTGCATGCTAAAAGACTTCCCTATAATTGCTACTTTTGGCAGTACTGCTGTGCAAATCTGTGGGGCAAGAATGTAAATGGAGTGTTTATACAGTTCACAATTACTTTATATAAAAACTATGAGCTCTTCYGTCTTCCAGCTTGGGGGCTGCAGGCCTGGGAGGCTGTGGTGCCCACAGTAGTGACACCTGAGTTGCAACATGAATGCTCGCTATGGTCCTCCACTATATATTTCAGGTTCATATACAGTATGTGGGGCGCTCCCACAGACTATCCACCCGGTAGCACTCGTGGTTTGAATTTATAGYTATTTATATACCTATTTCTTATAGTGATTTTTATGCAAATATTTCAGGGCTAGTTTCCTCTTTCAGGACTGTGCTGCTGGGTGCAAGGTTAGGTACTAGCACTGCCCTGCTCTGCCTTGTCTTTGTGAGACTAATGCTGAGGGTCGGCACTAGCCCTAGTTCAGAGCCTCTCTGAGTCTCAGGGACCCTCACCACTGATGGTGATGGACTTTGCACCACACTGTAATTCCAGGTAGGATTCAGGCTTCAGTGTTATTTCCAGTTGTGTAATATATCCTGCTTGGCTTCTGGTTGCTGCTTCAGCAAGGCACCTGTTGTCACATCTGATGCCCTGTGCAGGTATCTTGGTAAATTTGGAATCTCCCAAATAGCACTTGGCATCTGTGTWGAGGCAGCTGAATCCTTCCCTGGTTGTCTCACATTTTACATATTAGTCATTTCAGTAATACCTGAGATGAAGGAAATGGTTACAAATTACCGCTATGAATAAATGAGTTACCCCCTAGAAGGGGTTGTTCAGATGTAAATGGAAAAAGATTAACAAAAAAATCAACCTCATTGTACTGTACAGGCTGACTGTACTGCTGCAGAAATTGGTACTTTGCACAAAACCAATTGAAAACCACAGTGAGGAAGTTTTGTGTGGTTAGGAGGGAGAGATGAAAGCATCTGTAGAAAATTAAAAGAGCTACTCTGAAAAGAGACAAATCCCAAGTAGAATCAGTTTTAAACATTTCCAGATGAATCCCACTGTGTGATACTTCAGTCATTCCTGTGGGTGATCTATGGTTGCTGTATATAGAGAGGAAGGATTTTAAACAAAATCTTACAAAACGTGTTCCTTACCTTAGGAATCTAACTTTATTTACAAGATTCAGGAAGAGACAATATTCCATGCCCTTGTGATGATCCGCCTCAATAGCTGTAAAAGAAAAAGCTGCAGCTCAGTRTGCGAGATGCTCAGCCAGCATGTCCAAAGACAAATCCAGAATCCTCAGGATATATGTCCTTACAAATACTTGTATATGAACAGTAGCACCAAGCCCTCCAGGCACTTTCTCCTGTCCGGCTATCCCTCTGAAGGGAAAGTACGGAAATTTGTACGAAAAAGAGCTTTTCTCTTACAAAGAGAGCAAGAGAGATGCAAGATGAAGGTYACCACTTAGCCTGCTCACAAAAATGCAGCAAGAAAGTGGAGCACATCCAGCACGCAGGGGATTGCAAACAAGGCCGGAATTGGGAGGCCTAACTTTTTGTTGTAAAGAAAAAAAAAAGAAGGGGGGGGGGGAGCACTGAGAATTAGCTGTAGTAACAGGCTGCCCAGAGAGGCTAACGACTGGATGGGCATGAGGCCGAATTGTGCTTGATGCTAGAGAGATTCTCTATCTACAAGAGCAGGAAGACAGACTAGCTGAGTGGTTAAAAGTCTGGAAAAAGTGATTCTGTGCTCTAGCTTCACATACTTCATTTCAAAGGGTTTTTAACCCAACATATCTTAAT